TAGACACAGGCATCATCCCCCAAGGATGAAATTTGGGGAGAGGTGGCGTTTAAGCTACTGCAAAGTCAGCTCTGACCTGCATGTCTCCGATAGCTGTTTGAAAGGTGACATTTCTGTGATAAACAACAAAGAAACAGCTTGTGCCTGGGAATTGTGCCAAAGTACCCAAGGCAAATGTCAGAGCTGCAGCCTATTCCCACCATGGGGAGGGCGAGTGTGCGCTCTCCTGATCACAGCAGCTGGAAGATGTCCAGCAGGGACAGCACTACCAGTGCCAGATTACTAGCTGTCCACAAAGTGATTGCTGTGCTAAATTCAAATTAAGGGGCCAGCCTGAGGAAYACAAGTCGCCCTTCTGCAGTTGGCACCGGTTCCAGCGTGGTACCCAAGCGAGACGTGTGCCCCGTGCTGGTGTGCACAGACAGCAGCCACAAAYACACCAGCACTGCCCCTGCTGCGTGACAGTGACACAAAGGAGTCCCTTTGAGCTSCCTCAAAAACAGGGCTCAAATTTGTCCAAAAGGCCCTGTTACATTTACATAKGCAACCCTGACACATTCTAATGTCTTCAGGCTAGCTTTGTTGCCCTAACAATCCTATTTTGAAGAGATTTTTGTGTGTYACTGATGCAGATTTGGATGTGTGTTGTAGAAGCTATTATTTTCTGTCATTTTATTGAAGCAAAATCATTATGGTAAGCAACTCCTGATCTTAGTACCTCAATAATATATATTTTTTGGTATAAAGTTAGTATCTCAATGTGCATTAAAAACATAAAATTGCTTTTAGCCTTAATACTTATTGCAGGTGTAGCGGGGGGGAGGGGGAGGGAATGAAAACAGTTCTAGAAACTCAGAATAACATTGTTTAAAAATAGGTCTGTTTTTTAATGTTTGCAGGCTGGGAGTATTTCAGTTAACAGTCTATTGCACTCATTGATAACCTAATCTGTCCCTGTGAAGCAGATTCTTGTCTTACAAACAGAAGCTGACTTTGAAGCAGCAGCCTCAGCTGCCCTTTTCTGTACTCAGCAGCCATATCCTGAACACAGCCCTCAAATTSACCACCAATATCCTCTACTCCTATGCAAAAAAAAAAAAATATTCTGCTCTGGATCTGCATACTCTGTCACTAATGGGRCAATTCATTTATCATTCAGCCACGTTCTGTTTCAGTATCTGGACTAATAATGTTTTTACCTGGTAAATTTATCCACTAAACTGGTTTTCTTGACAAATATATGCAAAGATAGATACAAATTTTATTTTTTTTTTCAACATCAGACAATACATACTGACAGTTAAAACTCTTTATTTCCTCTCTGGAAATAATGCAACACCATTCTGCTATGCTTTGCTTGTGATAAGATKGGTATTGTTGTAAGTATCTAATCCTACTCATCTAGGATTCACTCTGTGCAGCTTCATGCTTTCTAAAAGTAAGGCATCGACTCCATGCCCACTTCATGATGACTGTGGAGACCTAGAAGCCAGTGGGCAGTTGACCCATCCTTTGGCCCTAAACTTTGACTGGATTCCTCATGAAGAGTTTTAAAATGTTCAGATCACACCTCTAACATATGCTAGTTGTCCACKGCCTCAATAACCAAGGGAGGAACAGACTTACAAGCAGTGAATCATCACCCCTATTTTAAATGCACCCCCTAGAATTTTCTGAGGTGTCTTCCAGAGGTGATTCTTCACATTAGACAAAAAAAAAAGCTTTTACTTTGTCCTTGAGTTTAGTTGGCTAAATTTAGTTGAAAAGAACCCCATCCTAAATAAAAATTGGTTTGCMACTATCAAAGAATCTCTACAAGCCAGGTTGATTACAAGGTGTGGATATAATGTCTGTCACGTGCTTAGCTCACTCAGATTGATCTATCTTTCTCCAGTAATTTCACATATAAATCACTGTGGAAAATGGTGCAATAAGATTTTATAATCCACTTCATTTACAACTTGAGATTTGTAACAAGAAGCTTACAGTGCCTTTATGCTTTACAAGTTTCCTCCTGCGCAGATGCAAATTAAATTTTCTCACTGTAAAGTTAAAACTTCTGCAGTTCTTTTTTTTTTTTTTTTTTCTCCAAGGTAAATTAGTACCATCTTTATTAGGGCTATGCTCTCACAAATAGCCAAATGTGGTGGGCTTTTTCCCATTTTGTATAGAGCTGTATATATACAGAGCTCAGGTCCTTCGACTATGGATGGCACCCTAAAGTAGTGTAACAATTTCTTCATACCACAACATTTTTTTTCCTAAGATAATATGCTAAATATATGTATGTAAAGTCTATAATGTAAAATATTTCAAAAACTAAATCTGTAATTTGTGTAACTAATTCAATAACGTTTTATTAAGGTGAGCAGCTTCTCTACATGAAAAATACATCTGTAGTTACTCTGCAAACAGGAGAAACTATCAGTCCTTCTGACTCCTGGAATAACATACTGTCCCTATAGTGGATGGGGTTTGGTTGCAGGTAGTGCAGCATCACTGCTAACAAACTATTCAATGACAATGGTTTAAAACAGATTTTCTRAAATTTCTGTGACCAGTCATTAAAGGATCATGGCTCATCAGACAAGCTATAAAACAAGAAAAGGGTACTTTGCCATTCAAATACATTCCTGGAAGGACAGAAATCCTCCCAAGAACTTAAAAAGACAGCAAACTAAAACCAAATAGACTTTTTGACAGTTGTCCAGTACAAGACAGAAATTTATCACTGTAGCAAGTTTTTCAAGTGTGACTTTCAAAAAAAATATGCTACAAATATGTACCAGTAGAATRTGAAACTGTAAGGGATCAAGTCCAGAATTTATATCAATGACTTCTTCAGTGAACATTAATATTTCTGGCAAAAAAATAACTATTCCCTCATAAATACATTTTAATTTAAAAGAGACTATCCAAATCATGTCTTGTCTAAGGTTATTCCCTTTCTGCCATACTACTTTTACCCCAAACAGGAACAATGCTCATATTAGTCTACGATTAATTACTCAAAATGAAATTATAAACATGTTATGCATGTGAATTCATTCTAAGGCTAAAAGATATCCCAAAACTATCATCACAAGAAAGGAAATTTTAAAAACACCCTGATGGCATAGCTACCAAAAGAGAAAGTGCCCTGATGTCTAATAAATCCCTTTTATGAAGGAATTTAAATTATTTACTAGTTTCTTACAAACAGAACTACATGGAAGCTATATTTATCTCCTAAATAACACCGGCAAATTATATATCATGATAATAAGATATCTCTAAACTTTATTATTCACTAACACTACAAAGGGAAGATATTTGGTCTGTATTTGGCTAATTTTAGTGAAGAAGATTACACTGTTCCTTCATTTATCTCTCTCTCTGTGTACCCATACTGTTTAGATAGAGACTGGTRCAGCTGGTCCCTGACTCCTCACTGAAAACCCCTGAAACAGTCAGAATTAACACTATTGTCATCTGGGACATAAAGGGAGATACAGTTCAACAGAAGTGCCAACAAAAAGGATCATTTCACAAAATAGCAATCTCAGCTCTTAGGAACTCCTCAAAAGGAAAGACATTTTTTCCATTAGCCACTTTCACCTCCAAACTTTATATGGCTCAGGTCTGTTTCAAAAAGAAAAATATCTAACTCCACGAGAAAAAGAGTAATTCAAGTCATCCAGAGTTAGTATTGCAAACCTACGCATGCCACACATCCACAAGGAAAGGTAAGTTCTTCCCCAGTCCTTTCAAGGGACTTCTTTCAAGCCCCCTTCAATGAAACTCGGGTTTAGCTTCACAACGGAAGAAATGTACACGTAGTATAAATACATTGTTGCAGTACAAAGCCCTAACTTGTAAGCCAYCCTAAAACACAAGAATAAGCAGCCCCAGCTCAACACCGCATCACTGCTATCCCCTTACTTCTGAATAAGAGCTTTCTTGCCCTAATGAAGTCTGAACACAGGCAGAGTGAGTGCAGAGGGATCCGTCAGAGCAGGATTGTAGCAGAATTATAGAATAGCATAGGATAAAATGGGATGAGAAAATCCAATCGACAGTAATTCAAAATACCCCTGATACCTCAATTGCTAAGAAAACTTTGGTATATCTTTGTGGACAATTTTTCCCTCTAAATTTACACTACCTGAAATTATTGAAGATACATTTCAGGATATATGCATGTATGTTTGTATATATATATATAACAAATGACATAATCTATTATGAAAATACACACAGCTTTGACACTCTATAAAAGGAGAAGACACAGTATCTCAGTAAGATTAATCTCCATCCCAGCAGAACTAACTAGTCTCAAACACATCTATTTTTACTACTATTTTTACTGCACTCCTATTATTTTCTTGTTGTAAAGAGCTGTATTTATTTTCTGAAGTCTGAGCTAAGATGCATCACAGGGGTTTTTGGAAGGTACTTATGGGTAGGTGGTGATTTGTGAGCCCTGAGATGGGTGGTCAAACTAACAAAGACTCACTGAGCGCGTCCAGGGAGAGTGAGGATGCAGGAAAACTGAAAAGATAGGTTAGTAAGAGGCACAAGTCATGTTTGGGCATAGCCTACAAATGCCAAACCCGAGGCACACTTCCAGAACTCAGCTGGAATGCAACTGCAGAGTGAATCCTGGACATTTATTCACAGAAATACAAACAGCAAAAAAAAAAAAAAAAAAAAGTTGGCTAAATAAACTTAGACATCAGACTCTGAAAAAATAACAGACGAAGTGTTTGTCTTCCTCTCAAATGTCAGTGCAAATTGAATTTTTGCTGGAGACAAACTGTTATTGATGGTAGATTGAGCTGTATGGGGTTGATAGTTTATAAGATTCATTCCCAAACAATCTCTGTCATTTAAGATGCCATCTGTATATTAATGTTTTCTACATTAAAATAAGAACAGTCGCCCTGACTTGAGAGCATTTGTTATTGCTACAGAAGACTACCATAAAGAACAGAGAAGCAGGTGAAAAAATCATGCTTTACCTGTCCATACTTTGCAGCCAAATGTAGGGGTGTCCAGTACTGATTATCCACCACATTGAGATCAGCCCCATGATCCAGTATCAGAGCTGCAACATTCTTGTATCCATTAGCACAGGCCACATGTAGCTGCAATATAAAAGTTAAATTCTGCGYATGTTAATAGTTTAAAGCATGGTGTCTTATTGCATATCTTTACTAAATCACAGTTACAGCAAATACAAAATATATGTGATAACTAAAAACTAGAAAAACACTGAGGTTTTAGCATTTATAAACAAGATGCACCAGGGAAAAAAAATTAGTTTTTGCTTATTGTGAACAACTAAACAATCTAGTCTGACTATTAGTTTTCATATAACTTCAAGCAAACTGTCTTTMAAACACATTCAAAAACTTCATGAGCCCAGGTGCAATCATACATTTCAACAGAGCTTGAGCCCTCTTAGAACCTAGAACTAACTTTCTTTTCTGGCATTTCAAAYATCCCAGAGTTAAGCTGACACTACTCCAAAATTAATTCATTAACACATACTCAAACCAAGCACATTGAGACTGCAGCACGAAATTAGTGACGAAAAATACTTCCTCAGTTTTGAACCACAGATGATTTATTTCCTATGCTTGCACTGTTTCCCTAGATACTTAATTATTTTAATTGGTAAATGTTTAAATAATTTTAGTTGATTTTCTGTAGCTGTAAACTTCATTTAAGAGTCAAAGTGGAACAGAAGGAGGGTGGAAAATGTTAGTAGCACACTGAGAGAAACTCAGGTCATGAGGAACCTCAGGAGGTCAAGTAGTGCAACTTGCTGCTAAAGCAGGGACAACTTCAAAGGGAGCTGTGTTTGCTCATGGCTTGTCATTCTGAGTAACAAATACAGCAAGCATGAGAAGGTATGAAAAGTGTAATGGCAAGAAATGGAAAAAGGAAACTCAAAAACATCTTGGTTAATGGCTGATTTGAGGAGCTGGACATTATCTTTTGCAACGCATTATTATTTAAGGCTCTATATGTGTTTGGCATTTATATCAGCAATCCATTCCACTGTAAGTTTTTTACAGAATGAGATTTTTTATATATTAGAAAAAAAAAAACAAACAAACAAACAAACAACAGACATGTTGGGATTTTACCTGATTAATAAAAATAGCTAATATGCAGAGTAAATACAGAAGCAATATAACCCCAAAYGGGTCTTGTGGACAGAGAAATAGGGCAAGATACAACAGGGCAATAAAACTCTTTTCTCCAGTAATAATGAAGTAAAAGAGGAAAATGCAATAAGGAACCCCATCAGAGAAAAAAAAATGTAGTTTGTAGGTTTCGGTGGAAATTGTTTCTTATATATGATAAATAAACATATATAAGGCTCATTTTTTATATGATGAGATTGATCCAGTTAACAATTTGGTAGTCTAGTTTCTCATAGTTCTCTGTTGTAATTTCAACCAATGCTTTCACTTCTGGAAGCAAGGAGGACAAGACCTGAATTTGGAATTTGGCACAATGTAACTGCTCATCCCCAGTCAGAAGGACTTAATGCTCACACTGGTCAGTAAGAACAGGGCACAGGAATATTGCAGAAATTGAGAAGTGAGATTATAAATTGTAATCTGTAACCCCAAACCACAGAGCCCAACTATATGGGTAGTTTTCTCCTCAAAGTATTGTTAGCTGAAGATACTATTTTTCTGGTGATTGAAATGGATAGATAATGGCAATAAAAACGTCGTGCAATAAACCTGTTATTACAATTGTGTATTTCCAAAGCCACTACAAGAATAGGAGACACTAAAATGAGAGTCCAGGATATTCTTTGCCTTACCCTCTATTTCTGGTTCAGCTGTACATGCAGGGAATGTATAAAGTACTCACTATGAACACGCTTGATGCAGAGGGAATTAACACATTACAAATCATCCTGAATCTTCCCCTGGAAAGGGTGCAGAACACCCCTGCCTTGGGGGYAGAACATCAATTCTGCTTTCTATGATTTCCAGTGAACAAAATGCTCAATTTTTTTTCCTATAATTTGACGTAGCTTCATGGTGGAGGGAGGGTGTGTTTTAACAGAAGAAATTACATTTTCTATTCAGACATCAACTTGACAAGTGCTATTTTCAAGCAGTTTAAAAGTYCATATGAAATATTTGATGGCTGAAATCTTTCAAAGAAAAATTATTACAGAAGAATACAGCAAAAAAGTTAATTTTACCAAATATCATGCTGTCTGTATTGCATGTGCACATGTGTAGGTGTCATGAATTTATGAGAATGTGTGTATTCATGTATTTACAACAATAATTCCTTGCTTGGTTCATCTTCTCCTACACATAGACTTAGACATATATTCTGTCAAGAGAAAAGAAACCTAATTTGATACTTACAACTAAGATACTTGTCTTTTTTGTACAAATATAGAAGAACAAAACACCATTCCCACAACCTTTTGATATACACACAACCATCACAGACTGGCTGATTCAACACCCATGAATAAAGAGAGAATTGTTTAACAAATTCTGGATTTTCCACCAGTTTGTMAAACAAAGTTCCACATAACAGAAATCTCAAAGCAAAGCAAATTTACCTACTTTGCATCTACTTCTTGAAAAAAATCAGATTTCAGCAAAAACCTGTTCATGCCAACTTTCCCTCTGTCAACATTCTACTAAGCAGGAAAAGAAGTACCCACAATGTTTTTCTCCCAAAACCTGCAGTACTTTTAGATATCTTTTAGACATATATTTCAACCATTACAGCTAACTGCAAAAAGGATTTTATACAGAAAGATTTATCTAAGTTCATAACTCAGCTTAACTGAGACAATTCTGACTAAAACAGCAATAGAAATTAAGTACAATAGTTATGTGATATAGCAGCTTAGATAAAAAGTATCCAAAAATTAGAAGCAAAATTAATGCTTTTAYGAAATAAACTAAAGCTTGTGCTGTTTCTTCCCACTCCTTCCCGGCTTCCCTCCCGTTTTTAAACAGTTAACTGCCGTGGGGTGGCCACCACAGAAGTCACAGTGTTCTGTTTCTAGAGAGAACCAGTGGCTGGATTCAACCACTCCCAGATATGAGGCTGATCACTTCTCTGGTTGTAGCTTAAACACTCCACAGGTATTAAAATATGGAATACTAATGATTCAGTGTATTAATTCAGTATAATGCAATGTAATTCAGTGCAAATGCAGAAATTATAATAATGGTAATAATTATTACTACTCTAATTATATTAGTACCATATTTGCACAAAAAACCAAGGTACTTTAAAAATTGTATTAAAAAATATTAATGCTGCTGATTAATATTAATGCTGATTTGCCATTTATTGACACATTGATTTTAAAATTATTTGAGAGCTGAARAAGTAGAAGTCTTGACTAAACAAAGTGATAGAAGATCAATTGGCAGAAAAAAGGATAATAAAAGCTAGTGACTACAAATAACATGCAAATTTGGGAGTGGGAGTACTTCTCCACATATATAGTGAATGCTTCAGCTCACCAAACCAGGATGGGATCACTTCATKAAACACTGTTTTAATGGGCTCAGCCAGAAGATAGGAGCCAAAACCAGACATTACTGAGTGGAGTTTCAGCCCCTCTCTCACAGACAGAGACCACAAATATCTCCTGCAGCTTTAAACCATGGTGTTAATATTTTGCTATTAATTCTTATTTTGCATATTTAACAGCAAGTAGCAAAAAAGTTGTCATTAAGGTGCTTCATTATCCTATTTGAAAATCTGTATTATACATGGAATTGACACATCTATTTTCAAAAGTCCAGACAGAACCAAAATCTTGGTTTACTTTCCTTTTATAAGAGAATTGCTTTGCAATCATGCTGAACTTGTTGCAGTACATGCATATTCCCAGGGTGATAATTACATGTTCCCACTCACCAGGGTAACTCCTTCATCATTCTTTTGATTCACGCTCCCTCCACTTGAGATGAGCTGTCGGACATCTGTGAGCATCGTCATAGCTCTCTGGATCTTCATCTGGCGCAAGGAATTCAGCTCTACACCTGGAAAAAGAAAAGGATGAAATCTTCTGCTATTTTATTCATCAATAAAGAACAGGAATATGATTTTGTGTGCTAGGTTTTTAAAAGCTTAATCAACATGTAATTAGACTTTTGCGGATATTTTTAGACCGTTTACTTACCTACATTTATCAAAAAGTTTACCCCTATTTAAATCAYGGATGATTTGAAGTCAATCAGGAATATCCAATAAAGCACCCTGATCTCCYACTGACTGCAAGAGCAGTTGCAAGTAAAGCAGCTGCAGTATCATRAAACCCACTGGGAGTGTGAAATAGCTGTGATTGGGAAAATAATTAAATAATCTAAGGAAGCCATTCAAGTGTTTGGGACTTAATTAAATTTTTTTGTYGCATTCTTTCAGCCTCATGTATACATCCCAGTAACCAGACCAGTCCCTCAAATCTGGCAGCTTGACTGCTTGRGAGGTTGTGAAGTCAAGCAAATTACATTAAAACTCAACACTTTTTTTGTGTGCCTGGGTTATTTTTAACTGGGATTAGTTCYCCAGCAGAGACTAGACCATTTCAAGGCCYCATAAACCAAGAGGAAATGTAGTGKGGAGGTAGGAACAAATAGGAGGGGACTAAAGGAAAGAAGGGAATGAGATTGCTTGTGTCAGCATGCTACTGAAAGAACAGCTGTCAAAGGACAGTATTAAAAAGAGGATAAGCAAGGCAGTCTGTAACCAAAAGAAAGCTGGTCTCCAGTCTGAAGTGGTTTAAAATTAGAAACAGGATACAATGAATTTGTGAAGTGGTTAAATTAGCAACTGGCTGTGGTTTGATTGGAATACATAAACAAAATTCAGGACTTCATTCTTCTGCTTCCAGCTCTATGCGATTATTTAAATCCATTTATAGAAAATGTAATTTGAGTATAAAAATTCTTTCTCTCTGCCCTGGCCATGACATAGCAAGAAAGCCATATGAATAGATGATTTTTTGTTTCTCGTCCACATTTGTCACTGAGCTGAAAAGAAATCAACTATAAATTAATTGAATTAATATGTATTTAACCTAATATTTATCTTCAACAGTTCTTGAAGTTCTTTATATTACTAAAACAACTGAAGCATGTTTCAGGGTAAAATCATATTTTAAGTTTTGTAGTTTTAATCTGCCCTGGAACTTGTATAAATGGGTGTACCATATGTAGTTCATCAAAGAATTCCAAATTTTCTTTTTCTAACATGCTCGTGTACTTTATGTTCTGTTGCCTGCAACATTTGTAAGAGTTTCAGATCTGAARTGAAATGTTTATTGTGAGCACTGTCTTTCTATTCTCTTATTTTTACTCCTGCCACCTAAATGATTCTAAGTAACACCAAATGTAAAACACAAATCCAGACATGAAATAGAGAAAATGACATGTTTTCTGTATTACATGTTTCTGGATTAACTCTTTTTTCTTTCCCATGAATGTATTTTAGACAAACACATACATGTGTATGTGTATATATATKTATGACMCTGACARATTAAATGAGACAATGWYCCCAAAGGAGAATGTGTTTAAAATCATATTTCCTGACAGTTGCTAGACCAGATCACAATGCAGATTTCACAGAATGTTCTCAGTGTCTCTTAACAATCAATGTATTTTGTCAGAACTAAAGTTTCTATGCCTTTATCACACTTTGGAGTAATGATCTGAAACTACCTGATGATATTTATAAACTACCAATGCCACATGATGTCAATTACTTTCTTTTTTTTTTTTCTGTCTACCTACTTCCTGCTTTTTGCAACAATAAATTGATAGTCTAACATTCTTGTCCCAGTGACAGAACTCTCCCAAATACCTCAGGGCAATATACGTCCAAAATTAATTCTCATTTGCAGTGCTAACTTAACATTTAAAACATACAATATTGAAGACTGAGCAGACAGGATGRAACTTCACTGGTCCAGATGAAGTTTTCTTCTAATGTTCTCAGGTAAGAAAGATTAAAGTTTAAAAATATATGAAGCATTTTATACCTGATGAAAGCAGCCATACTTAAGTAGTGCTGCAGAATTTATGTCAATTTTTTCTTCCTCTTGATATGTCCGGTAAACAATTAGAAAAAGTTTTAGGTTTCAAAGAGAGAGGAAATGGGTGGAAATCAATGCAGTACCTCTTTTGTCTGAGAGTACCTTTAACACTCAAAAAAGAAAACCAATTTCACAATCCACAAATTAGAAATACMAGTTTCTGATTTTCCCAGGGAGGAAAAATGAAAAATGAAAAACAATGCTGATAGTGAGACCCAGTTATTATCAGGTTGTTTCCCTCATCATGTTTAATGTAAATTACAGTAATGCCTACAGGTTGAGGGCAGAGGCCAGCTGAGCCCACTCAGCCTTTTTGAGCAATTTACTACTGAGTGCACCTGACATAGTCTGAGAATTAACATATCAATATATTCTTATATTAACAGTGAAATACTGATCTTCACTCCTTGTAAATTGCCTTTTATAGAACCTTGTGATCTGTCAGGGGCCACAAAAAACCTGGCCACTGAAAGATGGCTCCGCTCGTGTTGAAAGAGAAATCAAGAAAAGCATTCAGTTGCCTTAATTGCTGTATGTGTTCTATGATAACTGCAATGCAGCCATCAGCTCAGGGAAAACACATAAACCATGCTACAGTGCAACAAAAGGCACAGTCTGTGTGAATCCAAAACCTATTCAAGACAGCTTTACTGGCTTTAAACTAACAGCTGTGTAAAGGAATGATACATATTTCATTAAACAAACAGCAGTAAATCAGCCTGGCAAGAGAGGTACCCACCCAAGTGACATGGGTTCCACAGACTTCATTTTCTAAATATCCAGAGTAGCTTTGAAAGTGTTATAGAAACAATAGTTTCCCTTTCTCTACTCTTTCAAAAATATGAAAACACATAAAAATTATTAAAGCCACAGCCTTAGAAGCGTAGTTTTGAATTCCAAGAACTCAGGAGCTATTAGGCTTCAAGCAAAGACCTCTCTGGTGGGGAGCTGAGAAGCAGATTTATCAAGCGTGCTCATGTATCATCCTCTGAGGCTCAGACAAGGAGACCTTGTCAATAAACGCTTTCCCTTAATCAAGTTCATAATTCTAGGGAGTCTGCTCYCCTTCCCTAGGGAGTGATACTTTCCAGGAATTTAGACAAAACAACAAAATGCTACTCATACAGTAAGTAACTCTCACTGCCTGAATCAAAGAATGACCTTCACGTTGCTTTTCAAAAGGGAAATGTGGTTTAGAATTCAGCTGAAATGGGACGACAGCCAGCATGAATAAAAAGAGGAAGAAAACCACATTGGCATCTACTATGGAAACAGATTCACATTTCAAAAAATGGAAARTYAAAAAAAAGAAAAAGGCATACGATGGAAAAAACACTCCAAATACCCTGTTAAATTTTAGGAGAGCTACATGCTCACAAATTCTGCAGGAGATAAGATGGAGAAGGAACAGTTGAAACAGCAGTGACCCTGCAGGGCACACATTTGGGGATGAGTATCAGTGYTGATGACAGGTGGGAGCATAACCTAAAAGCTACAAAATAAATTACCTCTCACTCTTAAAGAAAAACACCTGACAAGGCCATTTCATGTGCTTTGGCTGTCTCACCTTCAGCATATGGTTATAGAAGTGACAACAAAAAAAGAGAAAAACCTCAGATAAATAATGCAAAAGTAACTTTCCAAAAGTTTCAATGATAAAGCAATACATGGTAAACAGAAYTGAGGATTGCTATTAGACATATTTTCCTCACAAATATCCAGTGCAAAGAACCCTGCAAGGGAACACCCATTCCTTGTATCAGTATAAAGCACAAAACTGAAGCTCTTCYTGGCAAACACACATTGCACACACCCCCTGGAGCCACTCTTGCTGCAACATGCAGGTCTCATTCTCCAATGCCCTTAATATTCTTAATGAGAGGTCAACAGCATCTTGACAAGCAGACACAAACACACACTAAAAACTTGCAACAGCATTGAGAAGCCAATGTCTCTTCTCATACTTGAGTCTTCTCTCACTCTTAACTATATCTGCCTTCCTGACAGAGCTATAGACACAGCAAGACTTTTCACTCCATGCATGACGTGCCTCTCTTACTCTTCTTTCATTAGGGGGATACCACGGTTCAGAATTTGTATTTTGCTTCTGTGCAGCACAGAATAGGATAGACATGGTCCAAAAAAATCAATTAAAAAAAAATCATGACACAATTCTTCAAATACTAATTTTCATTCACTGAAATATTCAGATGTAGCTATTACTTTATTTGTTTGAAGTTGTAGAAATACTTCTCTGGCTGCTTATTGGAAATCTTTGTAAACAGCATTATTTTTGTTAGAGTACATTGTTCAAAGCTCTTGTGYGTATCACTTGGCATTATGTGAATTTGATTTTCAAAGGTGAGCATGTAAACAGATACCTGCCAGCAACATTTACCATGTGAGAAGGGAAGCCAATATTTTCAGATTCTGTAAAAGAATGTACACTTGAAAAACTACTGGGGCCTACARCTCTAATTCACTGCAGAAGTATTGACTGATTGTTGCTGGAGGACTTTACCTTTTTGCTGTTAAAGATATCATTACRTATGGTTAGTGAAGGATATGTAGTTTCATAGACTGGTTTGGGTTGGAAGGGCCCTCAAAGACGATCTAGTTCAATCACTCTGCCATGGGCAGGGACATGGAGAAGGAACAGCCTTTCTGCTTAGAGCCCCATCCAGCCTGGCCTTGAGCACTCCCATGGATGGGGCATCCAAAGTTTCTCTGGGCAAACTGTGCCAGTGCTTCACCATCCTCACAGTAAGGAATGTATCCTTAACATCTAGTCTAAACCTACTCTCTTTCAGTTTAAAACATTGTCACTGTCCTGTCACTACATACCCTTGTACATAATCTCTCTCCATCTTTCCTGTAGGTTCCCCTCAGGTACTGGAAGGCTGCAACTAGGTCACTGCAAAACCTTCTTTTTTCCAGGCTGAACAA